TCTTGTGTATCAAGCAGGAAAGGGATTTCATTTAAATAGATTGAAAACCATTGGAGAAAGGTTGCAGCCTTGTCTGACACCATTACGGTAATCAAAGAATTTACTTCTTTGGAAACCGTGTTTAATGGATCATTCTGTTTTGGAATAGAGAGCATTAATCATGCAGGTCATAACATGTTCCTCCAATTTTGTATCTGAGTAATTTGCAAAGTAAACTGTCATGCCATACTGAATCAAAGGCCTTTTTAAAACCTATGAAACCGGTGTAAAGTTTGCATTTGGTTGTATGAGTGAGGTATTTATCAATTAGAGTTCTAAGGGCGTAGTTATGGTCAGTCGTGCAATGATTTAACACAAAGGCAATTTGAGCTTTGTGTAAGATATTGTGGTCCCCTAGAAAATTTTTCAGTCGGTTATTGAGGACAGCACCGAAAAGTTTTCCTAGGCAGTGACGTATTTATACATATGCCACTATAATTTGCTGGGTCTTGTTTGTCTCCAGATTTGAATATGGGAGTTATTACACCCTCGCACCAACGTTGTGGAAAGTACCCATTGGTAAGGATATGGTTAAACAGTTTGCAGATTCCGGACTTTAAGTGGGGCTGAGAGCTGGTTTTGCGCATTTCATTTTGTATTCTGTCAGGACCAGGGGCTTTTCCAGGTTTTAAAGTTTTATTGTAGTTTCAATTTCTTCGAGAGAAATAGGGTCATTTAGATAGATTTGATCATCTTTCTGTTGTTCTAAGGCTGAGTTGTTGTTCAGAACAGACAGGTTGAATTTAGATAATATTGAAGGTTTTGATTTTGAATGCAAATTTTCAAAATGATCATATATAGTTTGTTAGTGGTTGTTTCCAGCATACCCTTTGTAACATTTTTATCAGTTTCATTTAGTGATTTCAAATAGCTCCAAAGTGCGTGCTTTCCTTTGTGTTTAATTAGGTTGTCGATTTTTGAGTTATGTAGTTTGATTTTCTTGAATTTGATAAGTTTTTTAATTTTTTTGCAAACCATATGGTAACCCTGCCTAAGAGTTTCATCATAAGGATTTCTATGTTTTTTTATTAGATAGCTTGGTCAAAGTCTTCCTCAGTTGGAAACATTCTTGGGCAAACCATTTCTTTGAGTGTTGTTCTTTACAAGCCTTCTTTTGGCAGTTTAATTTGAGAGAACTTGAAGGTATTTCATTTAGTAGATCAGTGAATGTTTGAGCGGCCAGATTAATTCCGTCTCTTGTATGGTCAAAAGGCATTTGTTTGAACATTAGAGGACGTGATTGGAATTCATCTGAAAGAATTGTAGGAAAAACAGTCACCTGCGGCTCGTGTTACAACCACTCTCTACAAAAGAGGCAGGGCATTAAAAAATATACTCATACGAGCTTAACTATAAAGGTCAAACTAGCATCCCCCAAAACCGCGTGGACTCTTAAAATTTTCTTTTAGTTTTGCATTACAACAAAAGAAATTTATTGCTGGTCATCCACTCACGCAAATCTAAGATCATGAATGATGATGATCATGATGGTGAATGATGATGATCATGATGGTGCATGATGGCAAATAGTGTCTTGTGATGATGAATGATGTCCAGTAATGGTGAATTATGTCAAGTGATGGTGAAGAATGTCTACTTATGGTAAATGATGTCTTAACTGATGGTCAATGATGTCTTAAGTGACGGGGAATTATGTCTAGTGATAGTGAATGACATCTAGTGATGGTAAATGATATCTAGTGATGGTCAAAAACGCCTGATGATGGTGAATGACACATAGTGACAGTGAATGATGTCTAGTGATGGTGAATGATGTCTAGTGATGGTGAATTACGTCCAGTGATGGTTAATTACGTCTAGTGATGGTGAGTAATGTCTAGTGATGGGAAATGATGTCTAGTGATGGTAAATTATGTGTGATGATGGTGAATATCGTCTAGTGATGGAGAATTATGTCTGGTGATCGTGAAAGACGAAGTGATGGTGAATAACGTTTAGTGATGCTGAATGACACCTAGTGATGGTAAATGATGTCTAGTGATGGTGAATAATGTCTAGTGATGGAGAAGGACGTCTAGTGATGGTAAATGATGTCTGGTGATGTTGAATGATGTCTAGTGATGGTGAGTGATGTCTAGTGATGGTGAATTATGTCTAGTGATACTGAATTACGTCTAGTGATGGTAAATGATGTCTAGTGATGGTGAATTATGTCTAGTGACCGTGAATGATGTCTAGTGATGGTGAATTACATCTAGTGATGGCGAATTACGTCTAGTGATGGTGAATTACGCCTAGTGATGGTGAATTACGTCTAGTGATGGTGAATGACACACAATCCTCCTACAAGAAGCTGCTGGCCAGCAACATTGTTTTGAATTTAACTTTGCCTAAATTACATTTAGCCGCATTAGTATTTCTCAAACTCAGTAATTCATCAAGTTAAAACAAAGAAAATCACTACTGTGAAGGAGGTTGGATACCCGGTCTTAATTAGCATAGATTTTGATGATTTTATTTCACTGTTTACTGCGTAGTTTTTATTTCAATTGATAAAATAATATCAAATGCTTGAGACAGTGTTTCATTGGCTATCCAAACACTTCAAATTTCATCAATTTCATCTAGTGGGATATTTTCATTTGAACTCATATGACTGGTTACTGATTGTTGACATGGATCAATGGTCTGCTGTTTATGAAGGACATCTGCTTGAGTCATGAATGTCAGGAGGGTCTCTTCTGTGATACGTTGGGTTCCAGCTGAAGCCTTTACTGTTCTTTTAACAGACTTCTGTAGCTGTTCCCATAACCAAAGTCGGGTGCAGCAGGTCGGTTAAAGTGCCACAACACTCCATGTTGTGGAGAAATCCAAGATTGGCTGGGCATCTTGCATTTCTCTCTCTGCTCCAGCAAAGTTTATTCCATCGTCAGAGCAATTGTGCACTACTATCCCCCAGCTTCTTTGACACCATCCTTTCCATTGCACAGCTCTCGAGGGTAAATTGTGAAGACTATGCTGGACCACTTCTATTTTTTCCATCCACACCTCACAAAGACTGAAAATACTGTTGCCAGTACCATGACGAATAAAGACATTTTGAAGAAATTTACATAAACCAATCTGTTTTTGTGTACAAAATCTTCAGTGGCTTCTGTGCACCTTCCTCTGAGCTATAATGTAATAAAGGTTCACTACTCCTCGTGCTACAGGCCAGCTGTTTACTGTCGTTTTTAATTTTGAATTTATGCTACACATGTAAGTGAAAGGCAGTGAATTTCCCTTCATTAATGGTATCGTTGCACAGAGTGAAGTGCCACGACTCCATGAAAAACCTCTTGTGGTAGCTGGTCACACATCGTTCGAGGATCTGGGTGTCTCTTGAGTGAATGTTGGGACACATGGATGCAGCATGTTGTTTGATCACCACTTGCGCAGCCTGGATCATGTTGAGCTCCATGTGAGCTTCACGAGCACTTGGTCCCCCTGATGCAGCTGAATGAGCAGTCACAACACCTTGCTTTTTATATGATTCCTTGGATTCAGTTGATCGTTGGTCGGTACTTGGGCTCTCAATATTTGACCGAATGCTATTTCCAGACTAAAGGTTGGATCAATGTTAAATTTTCAGAGGATGTGACCCATACAATCAGATGCACCCTTCATGAAAGAAAGCACCACAAACCCCAGTAGCCCCTCTTGTAACTGTCTGGTTTAGTCTTGTTTTTCAGGCACCTCTTTAATAGCCTGTCAGGAAACCCATTCGCTTTCGAATCAGTTAAAACTTAGTTCAGGGTGTGTAGGTAGTATGTTGGTTCTGTTAAGGAGTATTTCACCTGTGGCACAACTTCAAATAATACGAGCTCCTTCCTCATTGTCAGCAATCTGTCAGCTAAGCATGAACTCTTCAACTCGATTGAGTTCTGTACAGTATACTGGTTATCCTCTTGTAAGGTTAGGAGATTGGCCCAAAGTAATCTTCTCTAGTATGTAGTAAGGAAGAATAAAGAGTAACCAAGTCTATGGTTGTTGATAAGGCAGCCATGATGGGTGTTCAGAGTTGTGCCTTTCTCCATGTTTTAGATATTTTGACATGTTTTAGATGTTGACACACTTCCTATAACTTGCAGATCAAAATTTCACTTTGCTGGTTCCAAAACAAATTTGTCTTGACGTTTTGACTGCATTAGTGTGTCAATAATTAACTGTGAAGTTGTTGCAGTGACCTTGTGTTTAGTAAGACTGCGGATTGTTTACTTGTTGTTCTGAGAACTACACGCTAGCTTTGAGCATCACATTGTTGCTTATTTTGTTTGCAGTGCCCCGCATGGTGACTTGCATTTGCTATTCATACATGAGTCAGAAAATTTTGTTATATTGAGTCAGGGTAGTTTGCATAGTCCCAGCATACTATGCAAATGACTCACTTGACGACACTTGGAATTTTTACCAAGCTAAACTCATGCAAATGTTACACAAATAGGGAGTGGAGACTGGAAATACAACGACATCTGCAATGACTGAAACTGTGTCAAAATTCGTACAGGACTGTTTATGAGAGTCTAGACTTTCATACAATTTTGATGTTGCCACTTCCTCAAATACTATCTTTTTTAAGCACTGTAAGAAATATTTTTTTTGCAAATGTTCAACCTACAGTGTACTTTGAAGTCAAGTGTCAGTAAATAGATCTGAACGTAACCAGAGGTTGCATGACATGTACGAATAGCCACTGTGTATTTTGTTTTCAATAGGAGGTCATCTCTAGCAATCTTGGTGAATAGTGGTATTAAGTGTATTTACCTGGGCTGGCTCAATAAAGCAGGAGAATCCTAAAAGTATATAGAGTTACAAAATGAAATAGGTAAGAATCTTAAAATATGAAGATGGAAATAGAAAGGTGTAGCAAATACCTCAAACAAACTATAATGAGGATCTTATGAAACAATCTTCTTTGTGTGAAAGCTCACTTAAATGTTACTTCGTGTGATTCTTTGCAGTTTGAAAGCTTTATCAGACAGCAACAGATTATGGAAGAAGTCCCATCAGATGAATGGGATTTTGGAGATGATTCAAATCTACACAAAAAAGACTTCACTGATGCAAGGAAACAATGTAAAGCAATTGTGCAGTCTGAGAGAAGTAATGAAATGTTGCATGATTCATTACCAATGAATTTAAATCCAGCTGCTTTGAAACGACTGCGGGCTGAACACCCACCAAACAGGGAACAAGAACTGGCATTATTGAAATATGCCAGAAATGGAGCAAGTAATTGTTGTCTCAGTGAAAGCGAGAGAAAAAGTTTCTGTGAAAACCATTCTCAGAACCTGATGGACCATGAAAGAGAGCAGGATTTGTATTGTGGTGAATATCAAAGAAAATTGGAGTCAGCTGGTTTTGAAGGTGTTGAGGAAAGAGAGAGCCTTTTAAGTGACTCTCAGAAAGCTACATGGGAGACTCCAAAAAGCCACTCCCTGTCAAAGTTTCTTGGTAGTATGGACGATGGTAAGTTTGACAAAAGAAAGGCCTTCCAAGTTGATGGACAGATGGTATTTTTGTTGGATGGGAAGCCTTTACTTTTACATTATACTGATTAGGCATATGTCAGGTGTAACCAGGTTACAGAGCCAAACAAACGAGTTGCAGAACCTGCAAGCCATGATATGCCTATAACTGTAGTTATGCTATAAAGATGTTTTAGTAGCAGGTGGTAAAATAAGTCACAACGTAAATATTTTGAGATTACAATTAGGCCCTGTTGACATCCCAAATACCAGACCCTTGCTTAACAGGGCTTCAAGTATCCAGATATTTCATACATTTTTTAGCTTCCCCCGCATTTTCCCTATAATCCCTATTAAAAAATTATTGTAAAATGAAAAGGGAAAAATTATTTCTAAACTCATTAACTTAGTGCTGGTGGATGTAATACCAGCAGTGAATTTCCTGGAGCAAGCAAAAGAGTGACCTGGTAAGTGCAGTACAAATGTATACCAAAGGGTAAGGAGTTATGGACCTTGAGATGGAGCCTCCCCATTTAAAAAGATCTTTAAATTATTGTTTAGTGGAAAAAGGCAATTATTAGAAAACAGTGCCAAGGGATTGAGTGAGTGCCAATGCAAGTTTCCATTTGTATTTTGAATCAAAATGGGTATATCATTATCCTCAACAGTATAAAGCAGCTTCACAGAGAGACACAAACTAATAATGAAAACATACATTTAACTTTTATGTTTGCCCCTTCCCTTGTACCTTGTGATATTTGTAGCGAAATTCTGAAAACATCCCTCTCCCTCCCCCCCAAAAAACAAAATTCAAATATATAAAAATCACTTTTTTATCTTGAAAATGATCTCAGAGACATCAAAACATTGTTTTTTATGCCTAGCCTTTATCTTAAAATGTGTTTTCAAGAAACTGCTTAATCAGAAAAAAATGTTCAAGGAAAAATGAACAGGAAAAATCAACAACAAATAAACCATTTTTTCAGAAGAGCGACTATATGTATATGAATTTCTTACCAGTACAACAACATACGAAATATAATTGGAGAGAGGATTTCTTGAATTAGTAAAATTGATGTACTTTAGTGAAATTTTCTGTTTAATTTTTGTAAACCTCTTACAGAATGCAGTCTTTGGTTACTGGTTCAATTTACTGTCAAGAAATAAAATCACACCAGAGTGGCTTCATATCTTTATTGTAATTTCCATTATCAGTAGCGAAATCACACTTGGACAGGTCCACTGATAGTCTCTTATGTGTACGTTAAACATGGGAAAAGCAGGTTACATCATGTAAATCATGGCATAATGTATGCCTGTGTGGGGTGTATATGTCTCAGGGGGTATTACCACCTAAGAAAAAAACACAATTTATGTCATCATTTTAATGACTGACACATTCACTAAAATTAAACATCAATTGAGAACTTTAGAGACCTCCATCATGTCACAAAAAGACCAACAACTTGACAAATGTAAAACAGTAAAATGTTCATTAGTAAAGACCTGACAAAAGGGTTTCAGAGCAAAAGTAAAAACAAATGAAGTGTTATCTTGACAGAAAAAAAATATGTATTGTTTAACAAGAGAAACTGAAGAGAAATTATTATAAATGCTTGTTGTTTGTATTTCTCTTTGGGTATTTGCTCATTTACCACCTTAATAAGCAAGATATAATGTATAATCTTCACCTCTGCTTTAAAGTTTTCAAACCTACAGTTTGTTTTCATATTTAGAGGGGTTCATAAAATTTTCAAGCACACCACCCACCCCCCTCAGCACCGATTCCTACTCTCCCATAGCCAGAATCCCATTTCAACCCCTCAACATTTCCAAATACAATCAACACAATTTTTGAGTTATTTTTTTGTACAAAAATACCTCTTAGTCGGCGCGTCGGGTATGTTATGGACGGGTCAATGGATGAGTGAGAGAGTGAGTGAGTGAGTGAGTGAGTGA